ATCTAGATAGCGACATATTCCACCGAGCTTGACGCCGATTTAAAACTCGAGCCGTCATGAAATACTCCAAATTCTTGTAATCCGTATATACGGTTACTGGATGTGCAGCTCCTTCAAGAAAGTGACGCCATTCTTTGAAAGAATCTACTATAGCAAGAAGTTCCTTATCGTGGATCTCATAATTGATTTCAGCACCAGAGAACTTCCGAGAATAGAATGTAACTGGATGGAGCTTCTTATCTTCACTCATTTGTGAAAGCACAGCTCCCAAAGCAAAATCTGAAGCATCAGTTTCTAAATAGAAGGCCTTTGTAAAGTCTGGATGTACCAAAATTGGAGCTGTAGTAAATGCTGTCTTCAAATCTTGAAACGCCTTCTCCGCCAAAGGTCCCCATTCCAACTTATCTTTGCATGTTAATCGAGTGAGAGGAGCAGCAACTTAAGAATAATTCTTGATGAAGATCCGATAGAAGTTAGCAAAACCAAGAAAGCATTGTACGTCTCTAACCGTCTTCGGAACCTCCCAAGACATGATTGCTTCTACTTTCTTGGGGTCCATCTTCAAACCTTCTGTAGTCGCAATGAACCCCAAAAATTCCATCTCCGTCTGGTGAAATAAACACTTTTCTAATTTGGCATATAGTCCTCGCTTGCGTAGTTTCTCCAAGACCAAACGAACATGCTCCTCATGCTCTTCCTCGTTTTTAGAGAATATTAGAATATCGTCCAAGTAGATGACAACAAAATCGTCGAGGTGTTCTCGAAAGATGTCATTCATCATATGTTGGAAAACCGCTGGAGCATTGGTAAGACCAAAAGGCATGACATTATATTCGAAATGACCATACCTTGTACGGAATGTTGTCTTCCACTCATCTCCTTCCTTGATTCGTACGAGATTATAAGCTCCCCTTAGATCAATTTTTGTAAAGATCTTCGCACGTCCAAGTTGTTCTAAGAAACTAGAAATCAAGGGTAATGGGTAACGATTTTTCTTTGTTACCTTGTTGAGACCTCGATAGTCCATACACATCCGTAATGATCCATCTTTCTTCTTCACAAATAAGATGGGTGCTCCAGCTGATGATTTTGAATGACGAATGAAGTTCTTGGCTAGATTCTCGTCGATGTACTTTCGTAACTCTGCTAACTCCGTTTGCGATAGATTGTAGATTGGGCCAAAAGGTGGTTGTGCTCCTTCTTGCAAGTCTATGGCACAATCATATGGTCGGTGTTCCGGTAGTATGTCGGCGTTCTTCTTTTGAAACACATCTTCAAAATCTTTATATCGCTCCGGTATACTTACTGTTGAGATCTTCTCCTCGGTAGTTGGAGCCGCATAAATGACAAATGGAGTGCCTTCCTTAGATGATCTTATAAACGCTCTTGCTCCAATGAATAAGGATTTCTTTTTTCGAGGTTTTTTACTAGGTTTTTTCTTGGGTGGTTTTGTGGGAAAAGTCATCTTCCGCAACCTCCAATCTATCAATGGATTATGTTTTTTCAACCAAGAAAGACCAAGAATAATAGGATTTGATGGGGTTCTAATAATATTAAAAATAATATGACTACTATGATCTTTAAACGTTACTTCTATAGGTTTTGATTCATGGGTGATGCTACCAGACAATAAAGGTCGCCCATCTATGACCTCAACATGAACAGGTTTTGATTTTTGTACTAAAGGGATCTTATGACGCTTTGCAAATTCTTCGTCTAAAAAACAAGCAGATGTTCCTGAGTCTAGTAGTGCTAAGGTTCTCAGTTTTTGAGGGCCGATAAACAGAGGGATTGTAAAACAAAGGGCAGGTTGGGCAGAAAGAAAGGAACCTGATTGTTGTTGGGATATTTCATTGTCCAGCCGCACGGTTCCTACTATGGCTGGGCATCCTCGTTTTCCTGAACAAATACTCTCCTAGTCTTGACTATGCCTCGATTTTGCTTTTTGGGGCAATTTCCGACTTTGTGGCCTTCTCCACCGCAATAAAAGCATAAATTTTCCTCCATACGTCGCTTTTTTTCTTCTATAGTAAGAGATTTGATACGTACCGCATCAATTTGCATGTCTTCCACCTCTCAATGCGAATTTACACTGCTTGCCGACATAGTTGGAGCATGACAAATTGTATGTTGTCTTGAGCGTTGGTCTTGGCGACGTTGGAATAGGCTATTATCGTACTTCACGGCTTGGCTAATGGCTTCATTGAGCGTTCGTGGATCAGGAAGAGTTAACAGCAAATCCTTCACATCATCTCTTAAACCCCAATAGAATTGACTCATCAACGCTTCTTCATCCCAATTGATGTCGCATACTAATTGCCTGAAATCCGAAGCATAGACTGATGTAGAACGCATCCCCTGTCGTAGCGACCAGATCTTTGTTGTAGCCCATCGAACCTTATCGTGTTCACCAAATGCTTCCGCAAATGCTTCCAAAAAGGTTTCGAAGTTGTTTAATATGGATGATCGTTTCTCAAACAAAGGAGCAAACCATGATAGAGCTTGACCCGTAAGTAAGGTTCCAACATGCCCAACACGTGACTCCTCCGTTGGATATCGTTCGGGCTGTAAAACTGTTATCAACCTGATTTGATTGACGAATCCTCGAAACTTGGAACGTGTTCCATCAAACTTATCTGGAAGGCTAACTCGAGGCTCCTTGTGTTGTAGAACTAGTGATTCTTGTCGAACCTGAGGTAAAGTTGTTTCTCCAAGTGTCGAAATTTGAGGCTGGTGTAGTTTAGATTGTGCTATCCCAGATACTCCATCATTATGAAGCCTTGCCACCACTCCTTCAATCTCTGCAGTTCTTTGTGATAACGTAGCGAGGGCATTCATAATAGCATCTAACTTAGACTCCGAACTTTCTGTCATACTAATGTCTTGACCTCCGGCCATTCTAAAATAAGGACAAAAATGATCCTATAAGAGGCAATACTGGTTTATAGGAGGGTAATCCACAACCTATAAAACGCCTTAAGAATTTCAAGAAGAGGGGTAATCCACTCTCTCCAAGAAGAATAAGACTCCAATATTGTAACAGAAGAAGTATCAGTTTAGAGGAGGGTAATCCGCAACCTCTAAAAAATGCTAGTATACCTTCAAGTAGAGGGGTAATCCACACTCTACTAAGAAAGAACTAGCTCTGATATCTCAAGTTAGTGTAGTCTCGACAAACTGTCACGGACACAAAATACAGACTTGAAATCTAACAAGAAGTTCAAGAAGAAGTGGCAGAACTAGATTAAACAGATGAGTACAAGAACAACACCAGAAAGGTGAGCTAGAACTCCAAGAGATGTGTTGTCGAGACTGAAGAACTCTTCAGCCTCGATCCCTATATATACTCCTACTTAGGAAGCTTCTCGAGCTACTTCTATTAACTAGGAAGCTTCTAGAAGGTTCCAGAGGCTTCCTTTCTAGAAGGTTCTAGAAACTTCTCGAGCTACTTTTATTAACTAGGAAGCTTCTAGAAAGTTCCAGGGGATTCCTTTCTAGAAGCTTCTAGAAACTTCTCTTCTAGAAGGTTCTAGAGACTTCCTTTCTAGAAGCTTCTAGAAACTTCTCTCTAAAAGGTTCCAGAGGCTTCTCTTCTAGAAGGTTCCAGAGGCTTGTTTTCTAGAAGGTTCCAGAGGCTTGTTTTCTAGAAGGTTCTAGAAACCTCTCTCTAGAAAGTTCTAAGGAATATGTCCCTAACACATATAAAATTTTAAAGTTTTACTAATATAAAATCTAATTCTTTTTGTGTATATATATATATATATATATATATAAGGTATTGTTATACATCACTACAAGGTTTGTTATTGCTGCTACAATCCCCCTTCATCACATGTCACTTTTATTTAGTACTTTTCAACCCAATTAAATTTTCTTTGTTCAATAATTTTTAAAGTATTTGATTAAATAGAATTTTAATTGGAATAAAAAAACTAAAAAATTATGTTGAATGGATGGCAAGTTGTGGTAGTAGCAAAAACTATAGTGGCATTAGTAGTATATATATATATATATATATATATATATATATATTATAGTTTACTATCTTAACAAATGCCTATTCATTTATTTTCATTAAACTCATAAACAAGTGTAGAACATTCTTGTTTTTATATCAGAGTCATAAAACAAACCATTAACATCACACCATGTAAAATTCAATGACTAAATTTAGATTTAAATAATTAAATGATTTTTATTTTTATTATAAAGCAAAAATGAGAAATTGTGTTTATATTTATTTACATAAAAGCTGTAGATTACTTGAAAGTATGTGGTCTACATTTAGATGAGCAACATTACACCTCGTATGAATTAAAAGAATGACACAGATGTTTCAACACGAAAAAAGTAAAAAATTGCCAAGTTGCGGGAATTATTAAAGTAATTTACAATGGAACACATTTGGGTAGAAATTGAGACAATGTTTCTGATAGGACTTCCGATAGGGTCACAAGGCCTATTTCTCACTAGGTTTATAAAATTGTAGGGTACAGAAGAGGTCATTGTTATAGCGGTTCGTCTGAAGGAAAACAAGGATATATTGCTGATACACTATTACCGAAGCAGAACCTGTCTTGCGCGTGGCATTAGGTGAATGAAGTGCGCATATTGTATGTTGTACAGCACACATCATACGCAAACTTGAGCTGTGGTTTTGAGATGTGGAGTCCTTCAGTGGCATTACATACGAGGAACAGTTATCAAACAAGGGCAGAATGGGAAATCTCGTCCTAGAATACTAGTGGCAGGATATCCAAGAATATCCGCTAGCAGAGATCACATACATAATGCAATACACTTATGTCATACACGTAATGCCTCGTAAGATCGAGGATATGTCACAATTGCTTCTTCTGCAGCAGAAGCAGATTGATTATGGATGAATTTTCTGCAGCATCAGTTTGGTCCAGATTTGCCAGTAACTGAATTGTCCTATAAATACTAAAATTATGGAAAACTGAGACTTCACCATAATCTCTTGAGAAACCCAAGGCACATGGAAAAAATAGGAAACTTCATTAATTTAGTTCTAGGATTCTCTTTGATTGGAGGCCTTGTAACTAGATCCCTGATTCCAAATGACGCAACCAATCTGCAACTGACGGCAGAATTCGAAAGAATTGCACCAATCTACATCAAATGGCCACTCCTCTGTTCCACGGAATATATCTGTGAATTATTCCATATTAAAACAATCATGTCGGAAAATCTTCTACATCTATCAATTTTTGACTCATGAACTTACAACACGTATTGTTGCACGATTCTATTTACAGTGCAAGTTGAGTTTTGTGTAGTAACCGGTAGCAGGACAAAATTTGCAGATATTTACGAACGCACATGACTACTTGGTGGCTCAAATCCCAACCTCAAAAGTCCTGACAATAATCGGACTGGCTTCGTATATTTGAGATAATGTAGATGGTGGCGTTTTCATCAAAAGAGTGGTTGTTGCTTGAGGCCCAGGCATTATGACAGAAGACATTATTCTGTATAATTTAAGGCAGAAAATAGACGCCCTGAGATCAGTCAAGAAAGTTGCGCCCCAGTCACGGTTTATGTTGAGCAACAAGATCAACAACTGCAGCACAGTTCTACTCACATTCCCATTTTCTGCTCCTCATCAAGATGGGTTACCGGAGGCAAATTTTTTTCTTACCAAGCATTGAAGCCAGCTTTAATGCTTCAGCCTTTTCAGCCTCCCCAACAGTGCCGCTGCTACTGTTGCTAGATAGGAAATAGTCACCCATCATGATGCTGCTACTGTTTTCTGTCGACGTGAATCCGCTTTCGTGTCGACTGCCTTCGTCCATGTTGTCAGAGGGACTCGACGCTCTCTTCCGAGGTCGAGTAAGGGGCGCTGCTCGGAGGCGTCTAGTGACTGGCCCCTGCTTCTTCTTGGGCACCTCTAAAGATGGAGGAGCTAAACAGTGGATGTCCCCATCGTGATAGACACTTTCCACACCTACCATAAGTGAGCATGTCATGAGTGAGCATCTCAGACGCCTCAAGCTCTTGCAGATGTCAGAAAACAAAGGGCGTAAGCTCGCTTCAGCATGCCAACATCCCTGGATCAACACTTTAAGCTCATCAGGACATTGTTCAGGTAGTGAGGGCCGGACTCCATCCAGTACCTTCCTCTTCACTTCGATGTGAGAGCATGTGTTTGAGAAGGGAACAGCTCCAGTCAGTATCTCGTAACACAACATCCCAAAGCTGTAGACATCAAGTTGAAATGGGAAACTCTTCACTTTAGAACCGACTTGCCCGCGAGACATCAATTCAGGAGCCATCCATCTAGTTGTACCAGTGTTTGGGGTCTGATTGGAAAAAGTACTGCTGTTTTCTTTCGTTTTTGAAAGCCCAAAGTCTGCCAATTTCGCACAAATGTGCTCACTGCCATCGATGTACTTTTTCTTCTTGAATAAAATATTTTGTGATTTCACATCCCTGTGAACAATTTTGTTATTGTGAAGGTAGACCATGCCTTCCCCAATTTGAAGCATGATGTCAACTGCTTCAAAAATGGTGAAAGGACCATCGTGACTTTTCTTGTGGTGCATCCTATCTTGCATGAGATGAAAAAGGTCGCCGTCCATCAGCTCCATGATAATGGAGTACCTGTTGTTGTCTATGGCATAGCCCAACAAGGGCACAATATTAGGGTGAGCCAACCCTGCTAATATTTCAACTTCATTCTTGAAACTCGGGTGATTTGATCCGTAAAATATCTTCTCAGCAACTTCGAACCTGAACCATCTGGTTTTGCGCACTTCACCAAATGCACCTCGTCCTAATTGTGTACTCCCCAAACGCTCCACTGATTTAGCATGGTCTACTTCCCAAATGCTGAACTGAACAGTTCCTGACAAAATCTGAGTCAATCTTCCATGTAGACAGGAGGCCAGCTGCTGATCCAGATTGTTTGAATTGCTTGAGTGACTCATATGAGTTTCCAGTCTCTTCAACAAAGTTCTTTGATCTCCTAGAGCCCTCTCTTTAACCAAACTGACCACAGCTGGTCTCATTTCTTCAAGCTCGTCCAATATGTGCCTGAACAGCTTTCTGCTGCTCAAAAGTTTTGTGCTTAACTCCAAATCGAAACCTAATGAGGATACATGCTCAGACATGTTCGTAAACAGCATAGCAGCTTCAATCCAATTCTTTTTCCTGCAATCCTCTACAAAGCTCTCTATCTCTTTGGCCAACCAGCTCAGAAGCTTGAAAATTTTGAGGCAGTTCCCTCTGTGTTCACCTGAGTGGCTTAGAATGCACTCCTCGGCAATCTCGACAGCTGATTTGAGTTTTTGAATCAAATACTCACACTGACCATGGTTAAATTGAAATGGTGTGGTAACACTTGGAGAATCCATGCAGCTCTGTATTTGATGCATACACTCTTTCGCAACACTCAAGTACCTCTGAGGCGTATTTTCTGAACAAATAGTCACACACATACGCAAATAAGTGTAAAGTGGAGTGTGTTAATCTTCTTCTTTTGAGGCATTTGAAACCTAAGTAGATGCTGAATAACATAAAGAGAAAAATCCATGCCCATTATGAAAAACTAGGCACAAAAGACTTGGGATTTATCTTTGCTGGACCAATTACTACGATCACATAAAAAGTTCAAGGTTCAAAGTGAAATGTTCAAATTGAATATAAAAGTAAACTAACTTACAACATCACATATTTACGATAGAAGGAACTTACCCACTGTCTTGGAAAATCTGGTAACAGCTTGAATCACATTCCACAAACGTTGAGCCATGATTGATGAAAGTAGCGAAGTCGCTACTCAAACGCTCATTCCAAGTAGCTGGAAACTGGTCACGCGCTCTCCTGTGTAAGAAGTGTTCGAATTAGCACCATAAAACCGTGCAAAACATTTGTGTCCAACCAGATGGGTAATTTGCAAGATCACAAAAATCGATTGTTCTCAACGAAATGTCGTGTAGGAACGTTGATTACAGTCTTAGTTCTTCCATAAGCCTCGAACGATCACTCACTCTACAGCCATCCAATCCAAGTCGAATGCCGAGCTCGGACCAATTTAAAGCTTTCTGTGCTCCATTCCGCACTCCAAGTATGTATAAACGTTGATATCGGAGCCTGAACTGCATTGTGAAGCTATGGCCTCTCCCTTCATTAACCTACACCGCGATTTACTACTCAGAATCTCAGTCGAGGGTTGAACACACTCAACTTGAAGATCCCAGTCAACATGAGGGTCGTAATCAACGACAATGCAATAGATGGCCTTCTCCTTAATCTTGCACACGAGATTGGGAAGTGGGAGTAGACATATCTAGCTACAAAGAAGGAATTTTGCAAATCCTAAGCCCACTACACGAGCTTCCTTAAAGCAAAACCTCCAACGATAACCAGGAAAACGCCAGACTATTAACACATCCAGCACCAACGTAGCAAACCCTCAAGAGACGTCACAGAAAATACTATACAAAACACACAGGAGAGGAGTGAGCTGGGCATCAGTAGATATCGCATCTTGTTCTCGTTTTGGGTTTCCAGAGACGATCATCTACAAAGAGCCAAGTCACAGAATTTAGAAAGCGGCTGTGTGAGGGCTTTGGACTACAACTTAAACCGAATTGGGTTGTTGCTCGTTTGGTTCTCACCGACATGGCCTCCACCCTAAATTCCATTCCCTGCTAATCTTTCAGATTTCGGTGCTTCTATGTTCTGGCTCGCTTCCATTTCACGACTGTTGTGATCATCAGTTGCTGTCGACGCACATGCTGACCCCGCACATGCTCACAAAGTTTGTTAATAACAAAAGTTTATCAATTGATGTGTTTCAAAGATTCTTCTAAATCAACAAAGAAGAGTCTTTTGAATCAAAGCAAGAATTATACATAGAAAAAGATACATATAACTCCATAATAGATTTGTAGTTTAAGGTTTTAAAATAAAAAAGATTTAACTAGAAAATTCTTATATATAATCTTTTATAATCATATTATTATATTGAAAAGTTAAGGTAAATTTTAGTAGATTTTTTTGTCTATTTTTCAAAAATAAATTACTATTTCATAAATAAATCACTAATTAATTTTTTCTAAATATTAATTTTTTTAAAATAAAATTTAAAATACTATTTTGTAGTAAATAAACCATAATAAACATGATACATAAATTCTAGACTTATTCTAAGAGAAAATCTTTATGTACTATATTGTTTTATTATATGATTGTTCTAATATGTTTAGTGGTAAAATTAGTAGCTATTTGAATGCACTAATAGTGTACCTATTGAGTTCTAAAAAAACAATTAATTTTTAAAAATTTAATTGTAGAAATTGATTTAGTGGACTTATTATTTAATAATTATGATGATATTTCTTTAGATAGAAATCCCTTGAATTTAAATTAATTATAAATTTAATAAAATTACAAAACCTCATAGCATGGAATAAAAAAATTATTATATCTATCTAAAATTTTAGTTTTTATTAGATAGAATGTTTAATAGTGAAGTTATATTATTTTATTTCAGTTTAATAAAATATTGAAGATATTATCTTATATGCCTTGTAGTAATTTTTTTGCAATACTTATAGGTAATATGCTCTATCTCTAAACACATTTTGTTACATTTGTAAATAACTAAAAAAATATAATTCTATAAATAAGAGAAGCCACCTTGTTAGATGTCTAAAAATATGTGATTTGGTAATAAAAGATATGAAACCTATGTAGTCTATATAGAAAATGAGCTAATTTCTAAGAAAGTATTGTTTGTATTTTTTTCAATAGTATAAATCATTGCCAATATTAAGGCCTTAATAGGAGTATATATATATATATATATATATATATATATATATATATATTTTCATAATATTATTGCAAAATTATAAAAAAATAGCTTATTTATATTTCAAACAAGCTTTTAAATAAGCATGATTCTAAATAAAATGTTGGATAAATTTTTAGGTATGAATTGAATCTTTCTTTCTATTAAATTATATATATATATATATATATACATGTCTTTAATGTATTTAAATTCAAGCAATATATATTTAAAAAAGATTGAACAGGTTATTAATATCTTAAATTTCTATTTAATTTTTTATTATATTATATTTTATTTTATTTTAATTTTTTAAAAAAATTATATATTTTCCTTGTGTTTTGATAGAATATATTAGTTGAAATTTGGATTTTGTTAGTTAAGAATGTTTTTGGTTGATTGGCAATATATAATAGAATTAAAATTAAATATATTATAAGTTTGAATTTTTTTAAATTTATAATTATTTTAGAAATATAATATATTTTTTGTAGGTTATTTTATTTAATATTATAGACTTGTTTATATCCAAAAATATGTTGGATAAACTTTTTGTATTTGGTTTTGTATTTTTCTCTCAACAATTGATATCAATGCAAGATTAAAGATATCAATTGCAAGATTCCAAAAGTAAAATTTGATGTAGAAAAATTTGACAAGAAGAATAAATTTATAATAAAAACTATAAAAATTACTATCTAAGAAGCTTATGAATAAAGATGGTAAAAAGTGGAAATAAATTAGCCTAAGAATGGTAATTAAAAACTTTTTGAGTCTTGCAAATGAAGTGATGAATATTTTTATAAAAAATAGTTTATTACCAAAGCTATAGATAAAATCAAAAAGCTTATATAATAGAACTTATCTAAATGTATGTTGCCTAAATTCATAAATTGTCTAAATTCATGCCAATGTTGTTGTTTTATAACATGACTATGTGGTGAAAGATAAAAATATAGATTCTATTATAGAAGAGTCTATTTGAAAGATGTAATAGAAAAATATGGATAAAAGATAAGAAAGTAATAAAAACTTTTAGTGTTAATGTTGTCTTTTGTAAAAAAAGATTCTACTTACTTTATATAGCCATAAATAAGACAAAAAAGTATATTAGAAAATTAAATAATATGACCATCTTCAGAAGGGAATTAAGAGTAATTTATACGAGAAACTACCTTAAGAAATCAAGAATTGATACTCAAAGGAAATTGGTTGTGAACTAAGTTCAAAATTAGACTCTACGGCACAAGCTTGCACACTTATAGTAATTTTGTAACTCTTTTGATGATTAAAGATCAAGATTGAAGGCAAACATTAGAAATTTTTTTTAGCATTGGTTTTGAGCGATTTGGATGCATACTGAATTTTTGAGAGCTTTTCAAAGTGAGAGATGCATTCAAAGATTTTGAATTTTAAGAAATTAAAAAAAACTTATATATTTGAAGAATTTAAAAGAATTACAAAATTCCATTCAAAATTACAAAATTTGTTATTGTGGTTTTTTAAAATTATTTTCATAAATTTGAAGTCAATTGAACAAATAAAATATTACAAGTTCTTTCTTCTAATTGATCAATTTGATTTTTCTTAAACATTGTGTATTTGATTTTTGCTTGAAGATTGAAATGTATTTTTTTATAATTAAAATAAAAATTTAATTAATTGACATTGGGATTTTAAAACAACTATAGTAAATTGATTAGGATTTACTAGGAATTTGTTTAGGATTTTTTTAGGATTTGTTTAGAATCATATTTATGATGTTGATTCAAAAACTTAAAATACAAACACTATCTACCAAATCAAAATATATTGAATGTAACTTTAATATTATAGATTTTTGATATCTATGGCTGTTGTAGATATTTGTTTTTTTCTTATTATTAGCAAATATTAATTAAAAACTCATCTTTTTAAATAAAATATTCTTTATATACTTTTATTTTTATAATCTTATTATTATTACATCAATTGCAATTTAAATCAAATATTTATTTAAAAAAAGTATTAAATTAATCTACTATAATTTTAAATCAATCTATCACATGACTTTATTATTTACAATTGATCCAAGGTTCTCCTTGCTTGGCTTCAATTTCTTTGTAATAGAAGATGTATCAACCTAAAGGGCCTATTTATTAATTTAAGAAAAAGACCTCAAACAACTTTTTGTTGATGGAGTGCCAAAACTTGGTAAATATTTCTCATGGCAATCAAAAAGAGCCTTTGGTATTTGATCCTTTAACTATTTGTGGTGCTATTTAGGTAGATAGATTTAAAATCTAAAAATATCAATTTAATATTCTTTTTATATATTTTTATCTTTAATAATTAAGATAGCTTGGTTTTCAAACTTACAATTAAAAAAAAAGAATTTATTACAATTTTTATGTATTAAAACTATCTTTTAATCAAAGATATAGCTATCTATGTTTTGATAAGTCACTTACACACTTTTCTATTCACAAAATGGAATAAAAAAAGTAAATTATTACTATTGGTAAAATGCCACTTAATCAAACAAATCTTTAAGAAAATATAGAAGAGCCGCATAAGATAAATTGATTAAAATCACTTCATTCTATAATCCAACTTGAAACCTTATACTAATAAAGATAATTCAATCTAATTAACATCAATAATATAAAACATAAGTCTCTAATATATTTTGGTATCACTTTTGATACACTTTTGATTTTGTATAATAAAATACTATTCTTCTACATATAATTTTCTATATGGTATCATGGTAATATTTTCTTGAGGAGATTCAATAGTATAATTAAAGTAGAAATTTTCATGGACTGTTATAAAAATTGAAAGAATATAAAGAGTCTTGCAACATCAATATTTGGAAGGATAATTGTTAGTGGTGGAGTTCAACATGTTTTGAAGACTTAATTGTTGTTATACTTTGCTAAAGGAATGATGTCTAAAATATAAGAAATTAGTCAATTTATCATAGATAGCATTAGTGTAATGCAATGACTAAGAACAAACATTGTAGAATCAAACAAACTTAAAGAAACTTCCAATTATTGTGTTTGAAAGATAAAAATGAGAAATATTCTTAAAGATAAAAAAATATAGCATTTTGTATGCCTAAGTGAGTCAAAACTATTAATAGATCTCGAAAAAATTATGCTAGAATAAGAAAAAAAAAATACAGCTCTAATAATCTTCATTCTATCACTCAAAGACAATGTATTACATCACATTGCAAATTCTAAAGAATCCAACTTATATTGAGAAACATTGAAGAATATCTTCAAAAAACATAGTGGAGCTAGAGTACTTTACCTAAGCAATAAACTAAGCACCATCAAGCCAATATAAAGCACAATAATCAAAGAATTCATTAAGAAGATAAAAAGAACTTATAATTCAACTTTTAAGTATTGATGATGCAGTTCTTAATAAATGTGTTGTGTAGATAATGCTTGGAGTGCTTCTAAAGAGTTACTTCCTTATTTAAGTAATTCTTTGTCAAGATGAATTACTCAAGTTTTAAAAACTCTACGGCAAATTATTGCTTGAAGAGATAAGATGAAAAGAAGATCAATCCCAACATAAAACATTGTCCATCACGTAATAAAAGAGATACTTTGGCACTTTTAACAAAGGATTAATGATAAACCATGGATTATCTAGACTAGAGTTTATAAGAAAAGGATCCAAAAACAATAAACATTTGGTTAGAACACCTAAATCATCTAAGCACATAGAAAGAGACTATTACAATTCTTGTGGCAAATGACATCACTTTGTAAGAAAATATTTCTAATAATGCCAAACACCAAGAATTTTTCACAATGTAATAAAACATCCAGATTACAAGTCAATCATAAATATGGTCTAAGAGGGTATTAAAGCTAAAGAATTGG